ACTAGATTTAGACGAGGTTAATAAGTAGTAATATGTGCATTTCTCGCTATCGGTAGAGTTGACAAAGCATGTGGGATCACATTTCCTGCTTGCCTACTCATTGTACTCCAAGTCAACCTCAAGTTCAAATCTATCCACTTAAACTATACCTGTCGGTCAAAGTCAGATGACTTTGAGTAGGAAGCATCTGTGAGTTGGTTACTAGAGCTGCTTGCGGTCGTATTACAAGAGGGTCTTTCTGTTGCCTCTGTAGACTGAAAGCTCAGGCAGTAGGAAGACTAGCTGGTGAAATTCTGTTCAAGAACTCTGATGCAGTGGTCTCTCCAGGCAATTAATCTGTGAATTAGGCTGGGTTCAGATGGAACAACACCGTTGCACAAACAAGAAGGAGGCTCAGGGCCAGAACTTTGTCTGACCATCGAGAAAGGACCCTGATGAGGCATAGCTGGGATCTGGCTCTTCTGCCCCCAGCCCTGTGTCTCTTCCAGGGCCTGAGGGGCCTCCTGGCTTTATCATGGTGCTAAGGTAAAGAAAAAAACAGGCCAGTGGCATCTGCAAGCTCAGATGAACCAGCCAGCACAACACTAACCTTCTATTTCTTGGGTTGATATTCACTAAAGGATTTTGAGGGGCATAATGTCACTATGGCCAGTGTTTTGTGAACTCTTGGAGATGTGAAATCACATACTCTGTACTTGCAGGGTCCCCAGAAACATGTCTTCTGAGTGTCTTGAAGGGCTTTGAGTGTGCTTGGGAGCAGCTGACCTAGAACCTTCAGCCAGTTTGTCAGAAAGAATCCTTGCTGTAGTCAATGGTAATTAAGGTCCAGCATTGCCCAGACCTCCTCCCTCATGCTGCTCTCCCTCTTGCAGGGGTCTGACTGGCCCATTTTCCCCTGCACCCTTCACTAGGCCTCAGGAACAAGTGGTGAATAGAGAAGACTCAGCCCCAGGAGCTGAGCTTCCAGGAGGAGGGCAGGTAAATAGTCAGGCAGAGACGGTGTAAAAGAACGATGGGTTGCACTGTTACTTGAAGAGAGGAGTTGGGTTGGACGGTGTCCTTCAGAAAGGGGTCTTTCTGCGGAGCAGACATTTGGTCTGAGTCTTAGGGATGGGGAAAAGTGGTGCAGGCATAGGAGATGAGCAGGTGCCAAGGCCTTCCTGTGAGGATGGGCTTGCAATGTCCATGGTGCTGAAGAGGCCAGTGTGCCCGGAACATGGTGAGCAAGGGGCAAGGGAATAAGGGACTGAGCACAAACAGGGCTCGCCCAGGCACGGCTGAATTGCCTTCAAGCGTCGATGAAGACCACTGAACGGTTTGAAGCTGGGGAGTGAGAGGATTAAATCTACATATCTGGATACTTAGATGTCCATAGATGATGGATAGATAGATGGGTAGTTATGTAGGTAGGTAGATAAACTACCTATTAGGTCGCTATCTCATCTCTCTAACTGGCCGGGGGTTTGACGAGACCAGAATAGTACCAAGGAGACAAGGGTTAGACTTTGTTGATTTGATTCTGATGAAACACTGGTGCTCATGTTCAAGGGGGAATGGTGTGTATGGTGTGAAATGGACATACGTAGGGTCCGTCTGTAATCTCTAGTGGATGGTTGGCCGGACACAAGGCATCAGATCGGGCATCAGATCAGTTTGCACTGTTGTCACGCAACACTATTTGGGCCAGTAGTGGGCCGTACAGACAACAGTGTCCTAGCAGGCCCCTCCCAGAGCCAATGTGTGTCATGGGCTCTGCCAGCTGGTTTGTGTCGTTCCGCCCTGTGATGTTGCCGAGACAACCAAGTCCCCAAGGCTACGTCTCTGGAACATACCCACCATTAAGCGACGTGACTGTGTTGTCCACTTTGGCCAGGATAGGGAGCGCGGAGGGGGACCTTAGGTGCAGGCCAGGATCACGGTGGCCACAGTTGGCATCAGGCCCTTGGACTTGTGTTCTTCCATCAGGCTGTGCTGAGCTAGCTCTGGGGACTCCAGGTGGCTGACGTGCCTGGCATATCCCGCAGTAAGAATAAGGCGCAAGTCCACATCCTCCCTAATAACCTTGTGTCTAGATTGTGGTGTCACACAAGGGCGTGTTTCAAAATTAGCATTTGAAAAGAAGCCTCCTTGCTTTCAGTTTGAGCTGACATGGTCCCTTTTCCTCTGTGGAAATGAAATTTATTAATCATAATAAAACCCTCGGATTCTGAAGGTAAAGGTCACCCTGAGGAGGAACGGAGGCTGCTCATTTACGAGGAGTAGTTCAGCCCTGCTGTATTTTCCTTCCGCCTTGAAGAGAATACGGCCAAATTGCTGCCTTGGGTTTTCCACGGAGGGGGAAGCTGTGCCCAGTGTTAGGAAAAACAAGAATTTGCCATTCGTGGAGGCAGGAGAAAAAGCAGGAGCTGCTTTGTCATTGAATTCGTTCAGATTGTCGACATGCTGTCTCCAGAAAGTGGAGATTCTTGCACAGTGAAACCATTTCTCAAGTCAAACAAAATAATGGTCACTGAATTTGCACTATCACATTCATTTGGAAGGAATGCGTCTGCGTTTGAATCCACCATGCTGGGGATCACATAAAATCTCCCAGGATTTTATGCCCTATTCATGCCGCTAACTTTGCCAGGTGAAAGTACACGAATAACAATCCCACTAATAGTCTTTTTTGCTCTAGGCCAATGTCAGACTCTTTCCTCATGAAACAAAAATCAACACCTAAGTTATCTATCCTGTCCGTCTGTACGTCCCAATGTCTACTGGTAGTGGCTTCTGTGGACCCGTTTTCTCAAGTAACTTCCATTTCTTCCAAAGCATCATCACTCTTGTTTCAGTATACCAGAGGGAGGGAGTATCTTTGATTGAAGGTCATTTTTGATGACTCAGAGATCAACGAATGTCACAAGGAATCACTTTGTTAGTTTCACTGAGATCTTCATCCTAGAAAAAGAAATGTCCGTTGATGTCACTTCTTTGGGAGGGTCAGGAGGCCACCGTATGTTGAAGCTGAAAGCCTCATGGAGGTTATGTGGACTCAGTCCCCTGAGAAACAGCCAGGAGAGGCTCTGGGATCCTTCATGTCCCAGGAGAGCTTGGCTCTACCTAGAGCTCTACCTTCTAGTCCTCGTTAGAAGATCCTTCCCAGCATCTTCCCACCTTCCCAGGCTCTGTGATGTGAGCAACCAAGCCAGACCCTCCCTGGGCACTTTGTTCAACAACTATGAGAAAGGTTGGATGGAAAATGAAAGACAGGGGAGGAGAGAGATAAAATGCATGCAAATTAGATGCCAAGAGATGGGAGGTGAGCAGATGACAGCTGCGTAGACAAGTCACTTTCTCCTGCCTGTCCCTTCATCCTTTTAAGTCGAGTACCACAGCCTAAGCTGCTGCTGATCGCTTCCCACAGTGTGCCACTGTGGGAAGTCCTCACTTAATGTCCACAGTTTTTAGAAAGTGCAGCCTCAAGTGAGACATACAGGTTACTCGGTATCAAGAGTTAAGTTTTACGGCATATTTGTGGTCACAAAAACATCACCAGGCTTCTAAATAAAGACCCCAAGCTAATATGAAACAATTTATATGAATCAAGCATTTGTTTTCATTTATTTGCCAAACCTCCTACTCCAGTTTAGGGTTACAGATGACCAGAATCTCTTCTGGCAGCCCAGGGTGCAAAGCAGAACCTACCTTCCATCACTGACCCCTCCCACAGCCAACCCCAAACACACACTGACTGTCAAACACTGACTGGAATCTTTGGGGCACCATGCATGTCTTTGGGATGTGGAAGGAAGTGGGAGTCACTGGAGAAAGCCCAGACATGGGGAGACCATGGTCACCCCATGTGGCCTGGCAGAACCAGTGTGCTCTGGTTGTGTGGGGGCCACCTGTCACTGGAAGACCAGCTGCTCTATACACTGGTCACAGTGGCACACAGCTGCTCCCTTCTTCCTGGCCAGAGAGACTCATTTTCACTTGGGAGGTGTCTTCCACCCTCTAGGGGAACCCACAGATATGGCTCCTGCCCCAGTGCCCTAGCCCTCCCCCCCCACCCCCCACCATCTTAACAAATTACATGCACCAGAAAATTTCAGGTGGTTTCCAGAGAACCTTAGCTTTGTTTATTACCAAAATAGCGATGTTCAAGCCAGCTCCAAAGTGGCATCTGGCAGGTCTTTCAAGGAGGGGCACATGCCCCCGTGGAAGTGTGTTCGACCAGCCTGGTGAGGTCCCAGGAATCTCTGGGACTGAATCTCTCTGAACCCCATTTGCTGCTGTGCTGTTGCTGATGTATAGTTACTTAGTCAGCATCTGAAGTGTCCATCTCCTCTTCATTTTCATTCGGTACAGGGAGTCGTAGCCCCGGAGGAAGAAGAGAAAAAATTCAAAGACAAGGAAATGGCCTCAAAAAATATTGCTTGAAAGTGTTCCTTCCCAGAACCTGGCCATAGATGGATGAGATAGATGCTCTGGGGTGAAAGGCTCAATATCAAATCAACCTCCAGTTCTTGGGCGGGATGTAAAGGATGCTTCGATTTGAATACATTCACTCTTTTTCTTTCTAAGATTTGGAATGCTAGCTGCCCAAACCTTCAGCCTTCTGGTCTATTTTGGCGGGTGACATCTAAATCAGGAGAAAAAGACACTCTCTTGAGTAGTCTCATGGCTTCTGGGAGCACTGGGCTTCTTAAAACTGCTCTTGAAAGTCATCTCTGCTGTGGCCCTCAGTGTGCAGGGTGCCAGTGTGAGCCGTGCAGTGATGCCTCGTGAGCGAGAAGGGGACATACATGTTCTGGGCCTGTGTGTGACTGGCTGTGTTAAGTGAGGAAAGGAATTCGTTGGTACAGGTGGGCCCCTCACACCTCGCGTGGCAGCTTGGAATGCGTCCTTAAAGATGCATAGGGCCTCCACACTGTCTCGGTATTTTGTGTTCTACGGTTGCTATTATCACTCCATGACGGCATATTATGGATTAACCTCAACCTCTGTTTCCCTTTCAGTTACGGACGAGTTTATGCTGCCGACCCCTACCACCACACACTTGCTCCAGCCCCCACCTACGGCGTTGGTGCCATGGTGAGTATCCTGTCCTCTTCTCCTCCGCTCCTCCTGCCTCCCTCCCTGCCCCCAGCTGGGACCTCAGTACGGTTGACGGTTGACGTCCTCTCACTTTCCCTTAATTGAATTTGTCTCTTGTGCTAACAGCAGCTAAAATGCCACATTAATCCTCCCAGTAAACTTGATAAATGTCTTAATTTCTTGGCAATGTAGTGCATGTAAGTTATTATATTTCTAATTTTGCAAGTCTCACCTAGCAGAGCACTTACCTTAATGGAATAATTAGTCATTTTGATAATTAAATCCATCACTAACAGAATGCAGTGTCAATGCAGAACTTTTTTTTTTTCTTTTTTTTCCCTCCCTGGCTGCTCATTCACATAGCCCCAAGGTTCCAGCCCCAGCACAGACTTCAGAGGAGCTAAGCCGCACACTTCCAGGCCTCTGCTGTCAGGCAGCTGAGAATCTGACTGCCTCTCCTCCCCTATTACAATTCATGTTCAAAGTCATAGTCGCCCAGGAAAGAAAATAGACAGAGGGGCACACTTTGTGTGTGCCTAGTACATAAAGAATTAGAAGGAATCAGCTGGGTTTGGGGGTTGTCTTTTGTTTTTTGGGGGGGGCTGGGTTTTTGTTTGGGGAGGGGTGGGGGAGGGCCAAAATGGGAGGTGAGGGTGGGGTGAATTTGCCTGTACTTGTTCAAACTTCTATGCACTAAATCTCTTGAGTACAGTAAGACGTGCCCATCACACGAGAGCGTATGCAATCATTACAAAGCTTTTGGCATGCAGATTTCTGCTTGGGATCAAAAAGATAAGCCCTTACCCTAAAAAAAAAAATAATAATAATAATAACAAATAACTCCCCCTAGGCATTCATTTGAATCGCCAATACTTTTAGGCAAGGGAAATAGTTCAGTGCCACCCGCTAGCCACCTAAAGTCCTGGCCAGGCCATTCACTGCAGCTTGGCCCTAGAAATTCAGCCATGATCTGGAAACCTATTATTTTGCACAAGTTCAATTACATCAAGCAATTCATCTGTACAACCCCCCTCTCCGAGCAAACTCCATGCAGATTGTCAAGCCAAGTCAAGTAGATACTGATTTAAATTCTCTTCCTGATTGTTCATCCAACAGCCTAGCCCACTGGAGGCCCGTGGGGGTAGGAGAGTTGAGTTCCTACCTTCACTCAGTTGTCCGAATCCTACCTTTTGAGCGTAGATTTCCCCAACCGAACATAATATTCCTGAGTCACACAAGCCAATAAAGCGATACAATGCAAATCCTTCCATTGCCCAGTCCCGACCAGGGGCCGTGCGGCCAGTGGGACTGGCCACCAGACTTGGCTGGCAGGGCCTCTCCCTGGGAGGACTCTTCAGGGAGGGCAGGTCCACCCTAGCTTTCATTCTCCAAGAATGGCCGGGGATGGGAAGGGAGTGCCTCCATTTTGTTTGTTTTCGAGTGTCTATTTTTCACATTAGTCTTTTTTGATGATCCACGTGTTGCAAAAGGAAAATGTAAAAAACACACCCCTCAAATTGCTTTGTTTCAGAATGCTTTTGCACCCTTGACTGATGCCAAGACTAGGAGCCATGCTGATGATGTGGGTCTCGTTCTTTCTTCATTGCAGGCTAGTATATACCGAGGGGGATACAACCGTTTCGCTCCATACTAAATGACAAAACCATAAAAACCTTCCAATGTGGGGAGAAAGGAAGCTTTCCGAGGCCTGGGTATTGCAATACATGCAGTAGTGCATCATTTTAGCAACTCTAAAAAAATAAAAAGTCAAAAGAGGAAAAAAATTACATTTTTTATCTTATACCTCAGATATTTTGTTCTGTGTATTTTAATATTGTGGGTCTTTAATTTCTGAAGGTTCCGTAGTTTGGTCGCTGGCTGTAGGAGTTTCTGTGGTTGACCTAGAGAGATGCTAGATATGAATAAAAACTGGTTTAGGGCCATATCCAGAGTGCTATATCCTGTAAATGAATTCTATATGCTGAATATTAAGCTACTGGGGTTATCAGCTGTTGGGAAAGAGTGTAAGTGACTGCAGTAGTCATTTCTTTCTGCATCTGCATTATTTTATTTTATGAAAGGGGAAGGGTGGGAGGGACGAAGGGGATTGGGACTGGGGTTTGGCTGAAAGCAAAACAAATTAGTAACTGATGAATCTAAACGACCCGCTGCACCAACGATCCCGTATCACCGGTTCTGAGTTACTCATTGTCAGTTCAAGCCAAAGGTGACGTGGGCAAGAAGGGGTGGGGTGGGAGGGGTTAGCAGCGCAGGTGAACCTGAGTTAAAGGAAACTGTGCAAACCCACCCTCAACACTGTCCTGCCGGCAGCCTCTGCTTCTCAACCAGCCGGTAGTTATTCAGGCCAAACCCGCTAGTTAGACCATCCACAAGCATTCTTTTTATATTTCTTCCAGTCTAACAAATGATTGATATCATTGCTGACTTTTATATTATGGGAGGGAAAAAAAAATAACATTAATAAAAAGGTGATAAAAAGCACTGTTTCTATTTTTTTCTTTTTTTCCAAAAAAAGAAAGTAATAAAAACTTAAATTCTTTGTACCAGTTAAAAAAAATGTATAAAATTTACATCTGTGCAGTGGAGTTGTTAAGTTCTAGAAACAGTCTAGGAAGCTTTAGTTTTAGCCTAGTTACAACAATTGTTAGAGACAGACGTATAATTTTTATGGAATTACATGATAATCATATTCGGATTTCTAGAAGCATTTTACAAGTATTCCGATCGTTGATAGAGATAATCGTGGTGTTTTCATCAGCTTGGTACTTTTGACACCCGACTGTGTTATGTGAGCAATCTGCAATTTTTCAGTCCGTGAGAACTGCCCTCCACTCTTCCCCAAGCCCGAGGATTATGTCCACCCAGTATCTTTAGTTCTGTCTCCAAGGCCCAGGACACTTGTCAGAAGGAAGCAAAAAAAAAAAAAAAAAAAACTAGGTCCACCTCGTCACCCCAAGAACAAAGCCCCCCATCTCTGCAACAGGGCCAGAGTGACACAGCCGAAAAATTGCAGTTTGTCTGTATTTCTTCTGTTTGAGCTGTTTCCATGTTGTTCTGTTTCCAAGTTCACCTAAGTTGGGGTATCTGTCACGGGTCTTCCTGTTTTTGTATTTAAACCAACAGCAGCGAGCTGTCCCCCGAGTAGTTCTGCTGCCCTAGTTAACCCTTCATGTGGACGGTCTGGCCCGTCCAGCCCTCTAGCGAGTCACGGACTCACCCGCTGTGAACCTGCCGATCCGCTGTAACAACTCTGCTTTCAAACAAAACCCAACAAAACTTAAAAAAAAAAAAAAAGTGTTTGTGATCCAGCTTTCTCTTTTCATCCTATGTGCATGCAGTAACACCGGTTGGATATTAAACCATCAATAAAGTCTCACAAGATTTGAAAACAAAGTTTCTGTAGCTTCGCTATCCAAGACAGATGGTTGTTACCTTGAAAAGAGAGAAAGGGGGGGAACGGATTAGCAGCCCAGAGTGAACCCTCACCCGAGTGCTCTGTTCACCCTATGAGTCCGGGTGGGACGGGAGGGCCAGGGGGGCGGGTTGATGGCTTCGCTAGGGAGTCTGGGGACCCCACCCGGCGTCCTGCCATGACCTGGGGTGTCTGGGTGATGAAGTGCTGTGGCGTCCTACCTGGGAAGGGAGGAAGGAGCAGGGGCCCAGGGAGAACCCCCGAGGTCTCCCCCGGCCCCCGATTTCAAAATCCAGAATTTGCATTGTCTTTGGAATCACAAACATAGAATCCTTACTGTGTTGGTTCAAGTAAAATTAATTTGCAGTTTTGATTTTCATTGATGAGCTGTACTTTCCCCCATGACTGTATGTAGTTTTAATAAAATCATGTAAAGCAAGTGGGTGCCAACTGATGTTGCAGAATCTTCCGTCCTGGCTGTTCTCCGAGATGCCAATAAGTCATTTTCCAATGTATGTCAGAGATGTAAACAGACATTTTGGATTTTTTTAAACAGTATTTATTTGGAATGTTTTCATTTATCTAATAACTATTGCTATTATGAATTATGGAAAAAAGATTACTATCATGTGTGCCATATAGTGACTTAACACACACATCACGCAATCTGCAAACCCAGAACATGTGTATATCTGTCTTTAGAAATTAGTGTTTATATCACTTACAGTGGTTTGTGAATAAAGAAAACTGGTTTGTAATATCAAAAAATAAAAGCTTAGTCTGAAAACGTACACTGAGTTGGTGTTCGAGTCCTTTTGCTTCTGTGGGGGTCCGGGGAGGGCGGGATCTTCCTCGCACAAGGCTGCGTTGTGGCCGCCAGGAGGCGTGAGCGAGGCCGCCCAGGTGAGTCGGAGGCTGCCTCCCCCCCCCTCCCCGCCACACAGGTGCCGCAGGTGTGTCTGGAGAGAACCCTGAGTGTTTCAGAGACACACACAAGGAAGCATAGCTGTGCCTGCGCTTGGAAACGCCAATCCTGGGTTGAAAATGAAGCAAACACTGTCTTATGTGAAACAAGTTCAAGTTATTCATGTGCTTTGGCAGCGTCGGATGATGATTAAAAAAGGCCACTGGGAGTGCGGGAGTTTGCGTTTCTCGCTCCCACGTTGAGCCATGAGTCCTGGCCAGGCTCTCGTGTTCCTTATTTCATTTAATTATTTAGCACTCCCATCTGGGTTGAATTATCTACCCCATTTAGCTATCTTAATGATATCTTAATTCTATCTCATTTAATTATCTTGATGCTCCTATCAACTTGGGAACATACTAAAGGTAAAAAATGTGAGGTCGGAAAGGGGAAATTCCGACTTGCGATCTGGCCTCTCCGTGGCCAGCTCCAAGCTGGCCCAGGGGCAGCCAAAGCCCGTGCCCGCGTCTCCGCACCTGTGTTCATGTGACAACATCACCGTGTTGGCACGAGAGGAAACCGGACCGCCGACGCGGTGAGTTTAGATCAGTCACTCTTAGGTTACAAGCCTGAGCAAGTTATAAGCCTGGATCAAGTAGCCAGGCCCTCGAGGGTGTCCTGAGGCTGTGGGGAACGTCCGCTCCTGGGCCATGCTCAGCTTCCAAGTTACGGACGAGGTCTTGGGCTGTTCCAAGGCACAGGCTGCCTTAGGGCGTCCGGGTGCGATTTCCACCGCATTGCCCAGCGACCCGTTCTCTGGACACCACGCACAGAGGAGCGGCAGGTAACAGTCCACCGCCGCTGTCCTAGAGACCGCAGCTCGTTTTGTGAACTGAGACGATCAAAACAAGGGTCACGTAATTTGCCCAGAGTGATGCCCCGCGAGGGCTGGGGCACATTCCCCTGAAGTCGGTGCGGCCCTGAGCACAGGCTATCCACACCCGGAAATCTGCTCCAAGATGTGGCGGGGTGGGGTTAAAACCCTTGAGGAGCCCCGCAGCGCTGAGCAGAGGACTCAGCTCCCAGAAGTCTGGGTGGGGGATGCAGACTTCGCAGACCTCTGCTCTCCAGAAGCTGGGCGCTGGGCAGAGCCCCCTAGAGGCCCGTGAGGGTTACTGATCTTTCCCTGGACAATACCTGGGAGGTAGACTCTTCCCACCTATTCTCTTAGTTAAACCGTGAAATGCTCTCTGTGTTAAACAAATAAAATAAAATAAAATAAAAACAAGCATGGCGGATCCTGTCCACTTAGCTTAGAACACAGTTTTTGGCACAAGCCCCCGATAACCTCGAGCATTTAGGACACCTTTAGGAGGCTGATTCCATCACCTGGGAAGTGGCCATTTTGAGAGCCCTTGACTCCGACCTGCACACGCACAGCCACACTCAGGTGCGCACGCGCACACTCACTTGCAAAGCTCTTTGCTGCTGGGTTGTGCACCTGCGCACGCTCCAGAGTCTTCCTCTCAGAGGAGCTGGTGAACTTGTAGAACATGCAGGTTCCAGAGCAAACCAGCCTTTGGCCCTCCAGGGCACCGGAGCTCCCTGGGAGTGTCCCTTGTTGATTCTCCCTGCACACAGCGCCTCCTGGTGGCAGGAGGACGGTGGGTGTGCTGTGTGCTAACTAGTCTGAATCCTCATAACCTGTGGGCTTTTCACCCATAAAGTCAAGAACTGGGACTGAAAAAAAAAAAAAAAAAAGACTCATAAGAAAGAGGTAAGTCGTTTATATTGGATAAGCACAGAGGCTGACTGCTACGTTCTTGTCTTCTATTCATCGGTCTCCCACATGTGCGAGCAGATGCACTCACAAATATATATATTTGGGAGATTTGTATGTAAATTCACATGGTGTCGTCTTTTCTAGAAGACATAAAAATTCTCATTGTGCATTCACTTAGGCTTCAACCTGATGATGCTAGATAGAGTCCGCACCTGCAAAATCTCTCAACCCTGGGGAAAGCCAGGGTCTGTCATTTGCTGCCTGAGGGGTGGAGACTTGAAAACTTAGGGGTTGGAAGGGAGCAGCTGGCCTCTGGGGGCTAGGAAGAATCTCCTGTGAGAGCCCAGTGTTACTTCCTAGAGCTTTTCCAATCACCCTTGGGGAAAACTAAGGCCCAGCGGCAACAAAAGTGTATCTGTATGGCCCAGATAACAAAGCAGCTTCATCACAGAAACCTGACTTGGAGGACAGAAATCACCAGCATCTCAAGGGGAAATCTCTGGATGGCCAGGTGGTATGGTGATGGAAACACCAAGGATGCCTTCAAAACTCAGTGGCATTTCCCAGGGGAACCAATGTAGAGAATAGAGAACTGGGTAGAGAATAGAACTAATAATAAAGGTAACAAGACTAACACCTTGACCCTGCCAGACTCTGTCCAGACACATATATTCCGTCCACAGCCTTATGTGCACACAACTTCCTGAAACAGACTCAGGTAGAGAGGCATTTACAAAGAGAACCTCTCTGTACTTCAGATTCTTCTGCAAAACGCAGGTGGTAACAGCACACACCTCATCAGCTTCTTAAATTATTTTTATAGTTTTTATTTATTTATGTGTACAGAACTGGGGTACAAGCCAGAGGTAGAAGGGTGGTGAGAGGCTTCACCAGAGACAGAGTAGGGAGCAGAACAGGCAGATGGATGAAGTCCATTGGTGAGGGGAGCAGCAGGGAGACTGGAGAGGTCTGCTGCACTGGGGATCGAACTCGCATGGAAGCTGCTGAGGCCAGCTTTGCAGTGCTACGCTTCAATCTACTGCACCACTAGGGAGGGCGTATACCTCATCAGCTTTTTTTGAGAAAGAAATGTGTTACAACCTGTGAAGCTCTGAACCTGGCATGTAACATTTTTTAAATATTAAAGATTTCTATATCTGTAATTTACCTGTATTCACATACACTACAGTCCAATATATATTTCTTCAATATATTTCTTAAATATGTTCATATTACATGGTATATATATCAACAGTGTATAGAATGTGTATTTCTTATCTATATGATGTGTATTAACTAGCACGATTATACATGCATACCTATACAATTGCACATATCTAAAATCAATCTCTGAACACACACAGACACCAAATATTTTGGAATAGATAACATTCTGATGTATTAGCATAACTGCAGTACATTCACTGGAGGACCATAAAATAGATGCCAAGTTTTGTAAAACACTTAGCAGATGCTGCCAGCGTAAGAGCAGCAAGTGGGACTGGTCACTCCTCTCCTCCCCATCATTGTCATTTTATTTCCCCCCACCAAGGCACAGGGAGGTGCCATTTTCCAGTCTCTGCAAGGAAGCAGGAGCTCAAGTGAGCTGGGAGAACCCTGGATGTGAGACTGAGAGCGTGGAGCTGAGCTGAGCGCCCAGGCTGGCTGCAGATTCTGGCTGCTTCTGCTTCCCAGTCACTTGCATCTCACCTTCATGGCAGCCCAGGTGAGTCACGTGCCCTGCATCATGAAGTGCCAGTGTCAGAGCTAAGAGTCAGTCACCCAAAGACCCAGCTTCCACAACTCCTTGTCTGGTTCTTGTTCCAGGGTGGATGTCAGGCACCTGCTACCTGGGAGCCCAGGAGACTACCTCACATGGGAGCCGGTGACTGATGCCAGCTCTCTGCCCAGCTATAACGAGGCAAAAGCCCTTGAAAGCAGAATCCGGGCTTCAGCCCTTGTAAGAAGAATCCAGGCTGCAGAAAGGAAGGCAAAGAAGCACTACTGGTAGGAAATAGAAGGGCTGAGACCCCAGAAGTGGGTGATGGTGGAGCTGGGGGCTAGGGGAGGCAGGAGGGCTCAGCAGGCAAACGGATTAAACAGACAAAGGGCAACCTGCCTGAAAGCCAACAGCGAAGGGGAGAGGCGGGAACCAAACCCTCCCATCTGGAGAGTCAGGCTTCCTGTGTCCCCCAGGAAGTAGTGGGGCACTGAGCGGCCCGCCAGCAGCAAGGCAACTTAGATCTCACCCAACACTGGTAGGCTGGCAGTGCGTACCCCTTTATGGAACTGGGTTTCTGCAGGACACTGGAGGACAGCTGCCAGGTATCTGGCCAGCTGCTACCGCTTTATTTTTTGTTTTTCTGACCTGCACAACCAGGTGATGTATCTCCTTCTCTCCACTTTTTGTCAAAGCCCAGCTCGTCCCTCTTAAAGATGCGCGCCTGTGTGAGCACACATCTTGTGAGAAAAGGAGAGAAGAAGGAAACGCGAACCCATAAAACTTCCAACATTTCCAAAGTCCTGATAGGGAAATTGAAAATGTCTTATGTCCCAAAAGGTAGAAGAGAAACCTAAATCCTTCTTCCCTTTGGGAATTTTTCTATCACTTCAAAAAACAAACAAACGAAACAAAACAAAACAAAAACACAAGCAAAGTCTGGCGTAAATATTTTCTTGAATTCTTGGGTGATCATAAAGTATAATAGCAATTCTTTACATTGGCAATGAGGCTCTTGGCCCCTACGATGACAATAGAGTATTGTTAGATGCCACCAAAGACCCAGAGTAAGAATGGAAAAGCAGCTCATCCGTGGTCTTCCCGTTGGTTAAACAAATTCCAGATGGACCTGTATCTGGCCCTGTCTCTACCAGCTCCTGTCTTCTCCCAGCTGGGCCAGTTTAGGCAACTTAACTTGCCTCTGGGGTGAATTAAGCCCAAACTAGGGCTCAGTTTCAAGAGAGTGAAAGGTGCCATCAGCTTCTGGTGATCATTCAATCAGAGGGGCTTAGTTCAGAAAAAAATTACTCACCTTCCACTTGGAGACAAAAATGAAACCTTGTGTTGAGAAGTGACACTCGGATTTTTTAATAACAGGAAGGGGTTCCAAGTGAGGTTGAATTTGGGAAACCAAGAAGGCTCAGTCCTGCAAACTGCCTCCTACTTTGGAGTCTGTATATAGCCCACTGCAGCCTAGACCCTGGGAGGCAAACCTCTGGGTTTGAGGAGCCCTTCTGTGCTCTGGGTTTTACAAACCCTCTCTCTGTTGGGGGTCTGCAGACCCTGTCCACTGTGTTTGCAGGTCCTCACATTCATATCCCCAAGGGCACAGACAAAGTGCCCCAACTCTGCTGATGGGGTTGGACAACATCCTGCTGACCAAAAACTTTCCTCTGAAATTCTACCATTTAACTTCACCAATTCTGAAACTAACCCTCAGACATTTGGCGGCTGATGAAGATTCCTGTTCTGATCAATACCTCCCACTCATACTTTCCCCAGCAGAGACTTAGCACACAGAAGATGAAAGGGAGCTTCCGGCATTTTTTTCCCACTCTCAACGTGTGGTCCATGCACTGTCTGCATTAGAATCACCTAGAAAGCCTGTTAATCAGGCAGATCTTTGAGTGTCTCTGCAGACATTTGGAATTTGGGTCGTCGCACCTTTGAATCCAGGTAATAAGCCTGCAGCCTAAACTTTGAGAGGCCTTCTTAGATCTCGTCAGCGCGAGAGGATCTCAGTTTTGTCAGAACTCTCTTGATCTGTCAGCTGTTTTGCTTTCTGTTCAGCCCACATATATTTTTCTGTACTCGAAATTGACGCTTTCCATTCGCTGGGGTAGCTGCCATCTGTCCGCCTCCAGCCTATTTTGCGGCGACTTAGAAAACACAGCGAAAGAAAAGACACTTCCCACAGGGCCCAGGTAGCAAGAACCTAGGGAAAGTAAAGGAAGGAATTTGATTGGTCCTCCCTGGACCAATCACCGTGGCCGGAGGGATGGGCGGGCTGACGGCCAGGTGTATGTAGCACGTGGAGATTTCCATGCGCGACACAGGTGGCCCGAAGGCCTCTCTCCGGGGCACAGCAGTTCCACGACCTTGAATCCCCGCCCTAGATGACGTTGGCAGAATAAAGACTTCACCCAGCGCAGCTGAGAACACAGGACCACGTGGGCGCTCAGCCAGTGCTCGACGGTGATCAGCTGGTAAAATGGGGAAAGAAATACCCCAAGTCGGGCTCCAAAGCGTAGTTGAAATTTAATTTTCTCAACATAACCATGACCGCAGCCGTTCAGAGTAAGTGTTCTCTCCATCTGGGAAACTGCTAAGCTAATTTTTGAAACCTTGAAGCAATGAACACCGCAGCCACGGCCTCTTCTGAAATCCTCCTTTTTCAGGCCGGCTGCCTGCTGAGCTAATGACCCACTGACTGGTTTTGGGCTTTTGAAAGCTGAGTTCTAACATCAGACTTTCATCTCGGAGATAGCAGCCTGTCTCTAATGAATTTTTTATTTGTTTACTCATTGCTTCTCTGAGATATAAAAGGAGCACTCATCTTTTCAATATTAAAAATAAGACTCCAAGTCAGGGCCTAATCCAAAGGCAAACTGTCGCAATGTTGACACCCAAGTCTGCTCCACTTCGGGAGAAACCACGCTCTGAAACAGGAAGACAGGAACACGCCATCTGGAGGCGCCTCTCCTTTTTTTAAATCTTTTTTTGCGAGCAGAGACGTAAATTATTCATGTCAAACTGTGTACTGTACATCACGTGCGTTCCAGGAGCAAATCCCCCCGGCAGCTGCTGAGAACACAGCCCGAGTTGGGCTTTTTCTTTCCCCATTTTACCAGCTGATCGCCGCAGAGCACTGGCTGAGGGCCCGCGTGGTCCTGTGCTGAAGGAGCAAATGCTCCCCCTCGCCCCCCCCTCCTCAAGGGCGGCCCCAGACACTCCTGTGTCCCCTCTGCCCTCGAGCTGAGTCCGCCAAGGACTTGGGGGCACCCCAGGAGGAAGGACCAAGCTTGGGAGGTCGCGCCCGGATGACAGCTCACACCCTGGCTGCTGGGACGCAGCTATTTCAACTCCACACGCGTGTGGGGGCCCAAAATAATGGGGCGCAGCGGGAAGAGGCGCCGGGAGATGGCGCTGGCTGTAGGGATGGAGGCACATCAGTGAGGACGTGGGACCTGGGGGAAGAGGAGGCTGAGGAGCTTGCGCTCCTGGCTCAGATGATGGTTTCAGGGAAAGAGCGCGTGTGGTCAAGTCTGTAACCCACACTGTTGCCAGCTTAGCGGCTTTACTACCTTAGCCTCTGATCCCAACCACAACTTGACACATTCTACTGTCCTCACTTCATCCCAGGAGCAAACTGAGCTGTGTGACTGTAAGCGGCTTCCCCCTCATCACCAGGGCATGCGTGGGAGACCCAGCATTGACCACCTCATGTCTCAGAAGCCCAAATTTTGGCCTCGGACCTGTCCGTACATCTGCCGGATCCAAACCCAACTTGGCATAAGTTGTTCTAGCCGATCAATGCCAGGTGTACGCATTATAACTTATCCATAAATCCATACCTCAAACAGGGCGCACCATCTTATTCCAAGATGCCATTCTGAGTGAGCCACGTGTGAAATTATGTGTATTTGTGTATATTTGTGTAAAGGTGTGTGGCAGGATCCTGTGAAGAATCCATCCATGCCACCCCCAGGAAGCCCATCTTGTTCTTGGCTTGGTCAGAATAGACACCGCTGTTTATTACCACACTGTAGACATTTGTCGGAAAGATGACACCGACCAGAGACGTCCACAACAGTCGGGGAGATTCACAGCAACTGCGATAATTTGGGTGAACATTTACACAATGACAAGGGTCCGCGGTCTAGCTCATTGGACATCCTTCTTTCAGAGACTGCGGTGATGGACGGAAACGACTAGAACAAAGCTGTGGCTGAGTGGGGGGAGGAACAGAGAGGAGGAAGAGAGAGGCAGAGAGCGAGGGAGAAGCATGTTAAATTACCTGAGGATTTATATGTCTTATTGAATGCTATCTGTGTGAGCACGCAGGCTTTTGTTATCTCATTGATTTTCACAACTCCGTGAAGCACTTATTATCCCCTTTTACTGATAAGGAAACTGAAGTTCAAAGATAAAGTCCTGCAAGCAGGTCCCAGGACTGATCTGTGCAGAGCGAGGGTCCACGGCGGTCCTGGGGCTCCACCACCGGCTGAGTGCTCGTGGAGGACACCACACACGTGTCCCGCCCAGTGCGCCTTCTGTGGGTTCTGGCATCCACCTACACCAGAGACTTGGGGCACGTGTCCCTCAGCTCGGGACTGGAAACATGCTGCTGTGCGCTCCACTCGGAAGCGCCTCCCAGGACACGCCAGAGCGACAGGGCCTGGGAAGCGGAATGAGCCCTCCCAGACCCTCGGGCCCGCTGTCCCCACAGGCGCAGGTCCAGGGGCGGCGGGCGGACCTGGGGACACAGCCCCCCAGGAAGCGGCGTAGGCGGGGGCAGCTGCGGGGCTCCCTGTGTAAGCTCCGCCTTCAACAGCCCGCATGGCGTCGCCAGCAGGATGACTGGGCGGATCTGTTGTGGTCCCTGCTCTTCCTGCGCTGGCGAGCCCTCCCCCCATGCCTAAGTGGCAAGAGAAGGGGACACCTGAGCACGCTGGTCACCACCAGGCGGATGTCCTAATGGGAGCCCTTGGCTGATCCCACAGAAGCCTAGAATTGCCCG